TAAGATTGATGATGATGATGGTTCGGTGAGTATAATTTTCACCAACACCAACCATAATATCATTATCATCATCATCATCATTATCACCATCATCTCCACACCACCATCATCACCATCATCTCATAATCATCACGTCCACCATCACCATCATCATCATCATCATAATCACCATCATCTCCACATCACCACATCATCATCATCATCATCATTATTATTACCACCATCGTTACAGTCAACAGTTGTAACATGAAAACAGAAAAGTAATAAAATTGACAACGACGAAATTTTTACTAGGGGGGAAAAATCCTTGAAGAAAAGATTTGAAAAACAATAAAGTCCAATTATCGACCGATTTTCTTTTCTTCTTTTACCCCAAGTGCCTTATATATGTAGGTATGTAATGATAGGTTTGTGATGTCTGCGTGCGTATGTTTGCGTACGTGTGTGCATGTGTGCGTGTGTGTGCACGTGTGTGTTCATGCGCGTGTGTGAATATGCGTTTGAACGTTTGTCGGTTTTTACGCTTTGGAGCAGAACAGAAAGCGTTTTAAATACTTTAGTTACATTGCCGAAACAAAGTCATCAGTTTGAAAAACATCATCATTAACATAGTCAAAAACACCACATCATCGTCATTTTTTTTATAGTCATCATCGTCATCAGTAGCAGCTGCAGCAGCAGCAGCAGCAGCAGCAGTAGCGTCATCCTCCTCATCATCGTCTTGATCACCCCAGTACACAAAACGTGGCATGTTTCAATTGTCTGCATTGTGTTTTATCATGGAACATTCATCAAACGAACGTCTACACCTCATTGATGCGCGCATTATGAAGCTACAATGACGTCATCGTCGTCGTCATCTCTGACGCTGTTTTTGTGGTCATCATCGTCATCGTCTACATCGTTGTGGCCAACGTTATCGTCGTCATCATCACCAAAGTCATCATCATTATCGTCATCATCAACATCATGGCCATCTTCACCATCAAACGTCATCATCATCGGCGTCATCATCAGCATCTTCTTTAAATACTTCAGCATCCCGTGCATAATGTAGCGCTCAACAAACGCCAAAGCGAACGCAGTGAGTGCAGGCCTATCTGCTGACATACTCAAGCTTACGCACACGTACGTACAAACTCACATACTAACACACGTACACACACACACACACAAACACACACACACACACACACACATATATATATATATATATATATATATACAGACATACAAAATAGCAAATACAAACATTCACACAGATGAATATGGATGAAAAATAGAAATAGAAGTGACATTTAAAAGTTAATATGAAAAACCTGATTCTGAAAAAAAACGATCAAACGAAACATACATACATAAAAAACAAACATACAAACAACTAAACAAGCAAACCAACAAACAAACAAAGAAACAAACCAACATACAAACATACAAAAACAAACACACTTAAAGAAACAAACAGACACAAGGAAACAAACACAAGCAAACTCGCAAGAATTCCGTGGAAAAAATAATAGCGACACCAATATGAATAATGGATTGGTTGTAACCATTATTGCAAACACTTTACATTCACACAACACCAACCACACCAACTACTACCACTACTACGACTATTGCTGCAGCTGCTACTACTATTACTACTACTGCTACTATTACTACTACTACTAAATTGACGACAGCTTCACAACAACAACCACAATATAAACCTAACGCCAACTAGCTTTCATCACTTTCGACCTTTAAGAGGGGAAAGTTTTCCGCCAATTTAAAGGATTTTCCCGCCAAATTGAAAAATTTTCCCGCCAATTTTTCAATATTTACACGCTCTTCCACACCAATGCTTCTTACTCAACGACTGCGACTACTTTTTTTGTTGTTATTACTATTAGTAGTAGTAGTAGTAGTAGTGGTAGTGGTAGTAGTAGTAGTAGTAGCAGTAGTGGTAGTAGTTGTAGTTGTAGAAGTAGTAGTAGTAGTAAAATAATGTCGTTTCAATCATTCAAACAACAAAAAATAAATAGTCACACAATAACGAAGCAGTAGTAATAGAAGCAGCAGCATCAGTAATAATAGTAGTAGTAGTAGTAATAGTAATTGTGGTAGTAATAGTAATAGTAGTAGTAGTAGTAGTAGTAGTAGTAGTGGTAGTGGTAGCAGTAGTAGTAGTGGTAGCAGTGGTAGCAGTAGAGGCAATTACTACAACAAATACTCGGGCAATTAATGTAACGAGAAATGCAAAAACCCGAAATTGCATCTGTGGCAATTAATATCAATACTCCTTAATGTTAGCATTAGTCAAAAACTGGTTACTTAACTGGTTATATAAGCTGTTGTGTTAGTAACAGAATACAAATTCTAATGATAACTATAAGGGTGTATTGAACGTATGAAGCAACAGTAAAAACAACAATACCGATTGTGGAAGAAAGTTTAAAGATTTGAAACTGGAATGTTTATTACGTTTTTGTGATATATTAGTTTTAAATTATTTGATTTTTTACAAAATTCGCCTAAAAATATCAGAAAAAAAACGACTACAGATATGGTAACATTAATAGGTATGTTGTTACCGCCACAACATCAACCATAGCAGCAAGAATTGTTGTAATTTATCAAGATGGAAGGAACTAGAACGTAAATTGATTGGATGCCATCTCATAACATTTAGTGGACTGGGATTTATGGCCGATAGGTTGTCGAAAGCTGGTCAGTTGGCTGGTTGGTTGGCTGGTTGGTTGGTTGGTTGATTGGTTGGTTGATTGGTTGGTTGGTTGGTTGGTTGGTTGGTTGGTTGGTCAGTTGGCTGGTTGATTGGTTGGTTGGTTGAATGGTTGAATGGTTGGTTGGTTGGTTGGTTGGTTAATTGTTTGGTTGGTTGGTTGAATATTTTTAAATTTTTTTAAATTTGTAAACTCTAAAAAAATTATACTGATTCTAATTTTAAATGGTTCATGCAATTATCAGAATTATTGTAAAATTAATTTGGGTTAACAGCTTTTTCCAAAAAAACATCATAAAAACGAGAAAAAAAATAATTGAATCGTCAAAATTGTCGATAAAATGACAATAGTAACTAATTTTTTTTTTTAAATTTTAATAACAATTATTGCAGAAACACACTAAATTCTCATTTCAATAGCACGCCTAACACGGTAGCAAATCCAGAAGAATGCGCCGGGGGGATGATTTTCAAAATCCCGAAGGAACGACCTTCAAATGGCCTTCAATGAAATGGTTTTTGAAATATTCAGTTGATGGACCATATCCTTACACCACAATCTTAAGTTTTTTCATTTTTTTCATGGTCTGGTGGGTATGGCGAAGCATTATTTTTAAATATTAAAACACAAAGTTTTGAAAAATTAAATGGATCTAACCTAAACTGAAAGAAAATCATTGTTTGACAAATCTAAATACCAAATGAACATAGTTGTAAAAACTATTAAAAAAACTGAAAAATAAAATAAATAAATTTTAAAACTGCCAATTAGGGCGAAAATTTAAATGCTTCTTTTGACGTAAACACGACCGCTATATTTTTTCTCTATTTTCAATTTTCCATGTTTAATACGACACAGTACACAAACAACAACAAAAAACTTTAACGTCCACACAATGTAACTGAATTTAATGTCATTTAATGTCATGTCATATTCCATGCTTTTGTGCTGTATTTTTATCCTACAGTAAATTTGAATTTCATTTTGATGCTTAGAAACGGTTTAAAAATGAATTCAATAGGCATGTGTTGAATGTGTTCATTGGAGTTCACATAGGTCCGTGTGCACTCTGACTAACAATTACGATGTAATCTAACTAATGCACTTCAATCACATTAAATCATTGTAATGTAGTGTAATCTTAATGTAACCAATTGTAATCTTAATGTAACACAATCACCGAAACATACACATACAAAATATTTGTATATATACAAAAAAAAACTACAAACAAAACACACGCCGAGTACACCCAAACAATGGCCTTTTTAATTACATTAAAACGATCAAGCATATAACAACTAGACACACACACAAACACACACACATACAAACACCAGACACTAGACACACAAAAACATAGATACATACACGCGCACACAGAATGTCACATACACACACACACGCACGCACGCACACGCACGCACACGAACACACAAATTAAACAAAGGCAACAAATGCAAACAGAAAAGCAGGCAGGCAACTATCAACAAGCAATCTCTGCTGACGAAGGTACTGTGTTGAAAGTGATTATTCTGAAACTACCCATAATGACCATCTGAATTGAATGCAAGTTTTGTATTAACTACAAAAACAACAACAACTACTACTACTACAACAACTACTACTGCTACTACTACTACTACTACAACTACTGCTGCTGCTACTGCCACTACTGCTACTAATACTACTACAATTGCTGCTGCTGCTACTACTACTATTACTACTACTATCTATTAAAATTAACGTTAATATTTTTCAGAAACATCAACAACAAACACACAGCGCAAATACACGTGTAACAACGCATCACACACACACACACACACACACACACACACTGTAGAGGATCACTCTGTAATCGAATGCGGTCAGAGCTAAAGTTGTGTCAGGTACTTTACCATTACACCAACGCGCCGCCAATCCAAACAATTGATTTTCATGGATGCATATGTATCATAGTATCATTTGATTGCTGGTTCATTGCAAAGGATTGCAGACAAACACTTTTAAATATTTATACATAAAAAACACCAAATACACACAAAAACTGAAAATTCATAAGCAAATATTATACTAAATTATATTCATACACTTACACTAACGTACAAAAATACAAACACACACACCAACATTGAAAGAAATACAAAAATAAACAAACGTATATTGTATCAAAATGAAAAAACAAACATGTGCAAAAGGTATATTGTATCGAAAGAAAATACAAACAAATACAAACACGAATTGTTTAATACAAAACTGAAATACCAACAAACCTTTCACCGGCACGTAGACGTTGAGGTTCAGGCACTCTTCTGTCTGCTCTTTGCTATATTCTCTCACCCTTTTAACCACATCATATTCAGACTTCGGCATCGGATAACGCAATAAAAAATCATCAACACTGTCGTCACTATTACTACTGCTGCTGCTGCTGCTGCTACTACTACTACTATTACTGCTGCTACTACTACTGCTACTACTACTACTGCTACTACTGCTGCTGCTACCAGTAGTACTCTTATCCCATTCCGAACTTTTGACACCCCCATCATGGTAATTCCCATCGTCCCCATCGTGAACATACTGCGGACAGACTGGCCGAAACTGATTGGCAATCCTTACATCAGTCCACTTTTCGGCCGGCGTTGTAGCCGGCATAAAACGCAAATCCGGGCCGTTTAGGGACGCATACTGTATCCCCAAGTACGCGTAAACCGGATTTAAGGAGTGGCTCGAGAAGCTGAGTAGGAGACCTCTCACTGGACCCGACTGCGTTTTAACAACAACGCGTCCAATTTCAGCGGTTGAAAATTTTTCGTTTGTTGGCGTTGCTTCGATTGGCCTCGTGGGTATGAAAATGATGGTGATGAGGTGGATGGTGAAGATGGGGAGAGATGGGGCGGTCGTAGAAATTGGGTTGGAATTTTTTTTAGTGGTGGAATTTTGGTGAAACATGTTTGTTAGATGGTGCTGATGTGTTTCAGTTATAATTATGACGATGGTAATGTGTTTCACGATGGCAAACAGGAAGATTGAAATGGTGAAGATGACGAGGGAGATGAAATAGAGGATGAGGAAGATAAAAAAGATGAGGGGGAGGAAGAAGAGGAAGATGACAATGATGGTGACGGCAATGATGAATGAGATATTTTTTATGGTGATTGCGTTGATTTCTTTCCACACAGCAAATGGAAGTTTATTCTTTGATCAAAAATTTTTATGTGGTAGCAGTCGTGCCGGACGTTGTGGCGGTTGCAGTGGATGTAGTTTCTGTTGTTTGTTTGCAGCTGTTGATGTAATCGTCAGGATTGCAATAAAATTTGTGTTATTCGTGTCATTGATGTTGGTTGACGCCATTGTAATTTTAAAATTTCCGTTGATTTGCTTTAATGTCATTGCTTGATAGAGCTACTACATTGTGTCTGATGTTACTGTTATAGCTGTTTTAGCTGATGTCTTTTTTTGAATCCAGATAATGAGGATGGCGACAGCAAACAAAATGGAGAAAGACGTTGATGTGATAATAAAAATATTCTACAGTGCAAAAACTTCTTCAAATTTCAAATTTTACGAGTCCATTTAGTTTTCTTGGCCAGTTAGCAAACTTTTTGAAAATTTGTATCCACTTCCTAATTAATATTTCTCAAACTAAGAGAAATATTAAAACTTTATTAAAATGTATATAATAGAGGAGTCAACCTAATTTTATAAAAATGTTTTTGGAGTTCAAAAATACATGTATATAAAAATTCGTGTGTGTGTGTCTTTGTATGTCTCTGTGTGTGTGTGTGTGTGTGTGTGGTGTGTGTGTGTGTGTGTGTGTGGTGTGTGTGTGTGTGGTGTGTATGTGTGTGTAAAAAGAAGATAACCGTATTTCTATGTCTTCCCTATACGAAACTTTAATCTCATTAAAAAGCTTATCGAAAGCGGCCAGTGATATCAACAAAAGTGTGCTTAAAATATAATTTAAAACCAAAAAAAATAAATTTTAATATATATATATATATATGTAATTATGTATTTATTTGTTTATTTAATTGTTTATTTATTTATTAATATTACTTTTTAGTGCATAAAACACACGATCAATAATACATAGGAAAATGTTATTACGGAATATTAATATAAATAATTAACAAATTATTAATTTATTTGTTTAATTATTTATTATATTGATTAATTGAAGTTAAGAATTTGAAATAGTTAAAATAAAATGATAATATTAGCCGATATATAAATGTTGAGTAACTTTAGCATCCATTGACGTCCATGTCGGATTTGTATGTATGTATGTATGTTTGTATGTATGTATGTATGTATGTATGTATGTATATATATGTATGTATGTATGTATGTATGTATGTATGTATGTATGTATGTATGTATGTATGTATGTATGTATGTATGTATGTATGTTTGTATGTATGTATGTATATATATACGTATGTATGTATGTATGTATGTATGTATGTATGTATGTATGTATGTATGTATGTATGTATGTATGTATGTATGTATGTATGTATGTATGTATGTATGTATGTATGTATGTATGTATGTATGTATGTATGTATGTATGTATGTATGTATGTATGTATTTCATTTTCATTTTCAAAGTTTTATTCATAATCAACAACATATCAAATAAGTGAATAAAAGTTATGAAGTTGAATATGCGGAGACCGAATAAGACTGTTTGTCTTGTGGTGGCCACTGCAGGTAGATACATGAATAGTTAATGAAATAAAATAAGGAAAATAACTGAAGCAGAAAGATAATTGAAGATAAATAAGTAAATGTTCGTGTCATACATATATAGACATATAACTATGTAATTGTTCGCTCAGTACATATATAAACACATAAATGTTTAACCATTCATAAAGACCATTCATCCGCATCATTTGTTCTAACGTATTCTTAATATAATATTAGGTGATGGAGTCGAGATGCAGTGTCAATAAAAAAGCACGGAATTTTGACTTGAAATGTTGTAGGTTTATGATGGCTCTTAGATGGGGAGGTACAAGTTCTGTCCAAATTTTAGGACCTGTTATTTTTATGCTTGTCTGGATTAGTTTGAGGCGAGTTTTGTAGATATAGAAGAGAGGGGTGTGTCTAGTGGTTGTAGATTGAACGGAGTTACTTAATGTGTAGAAGTTGATAAAGTGGGGTGGGAGAAGATTGTTGATAAATTTAAAAACGAATAAAGCAGAGTAGTAAAGACAGATGAAGTTAACTGGTAAAATTTTTTTTGCTAGGAAGAAGGGTTTAGTATGAGAATCGGGTTTGAGGTTAAAAATTAAACGTATTGATCTTTTTTGGGAAAGTATTAGGTTATTCAGGTGGCTTTTTGGACTATTTCCCCATAGTGTGATGCGTCTTCAAGTTTGTTAGAGAAGTAGTCTCGTTCAGTTTTTCGTTTATAGATGTGAACATGTTTCTGAAGCTTTTGTAGGTGGCAATGTTGCAAGTGGTTGGATATTTAAGGCTTATGATGTATAGTTTGTTTTTCTTTTTTGCAAGACTTAGAATGTTGTCATTGATCCAGCATTTTTTCTTTTTGTTTTTGACAGGACGGAGGGGGGCAAAAGTTTCTAGAGAGTGAGTTAAGATAGTATTCAAAACAGAGCAGCAGTCGTTGACATTTTTTAGAGAAGTCAAAGAATTCCAGTTGTAGTTCGATAAGAAATTGTTGATGTTGTTTATAGATTCTTCAGTTAGGTTTCTGAAGTGCTTAATAGGGACATGGTTTGAGATTTCTGATTTGGAAGCGATGTATGTATTTATGCATGTATGTATGTGTATGTACTCATATACATGCATACATACAAACAAACAAACAAACAACATACATACATACATACCTATATACATACATACATACATACATACATACATACATACATACATACATACATACATACATACACATAAAAGATTTTCACAGAGATTTGCAAATCGCATGACGGAAAGAATGAAGAGGGCAATTTCACCCAAATGAGCATCCGTGTTCTCAATAGGCATACAATTACTTTGAGCACATTATACATACAAAGAGGCGAACAAACAAACAAACAAACAAACATATATAAACATTGAAACAAAAATCTCTACATTCACATGCTTATTAGAAATCCATCAGTTTATTGTTATGAAAAATTTTAGTAAAAATCCTATTTTTATAAAAGTATATATTATACGACTAATACTATTATTGCTTTTGCGGCTACTACTATTACTACTACTACTACTACTACTACTACTACTACTACTACTACTACTATGTTGTATTGGTTTAGCTATCAAATTGGTCATTAATTTCATTTCTTAATTAAATCTTTCCATGTCAATTTTTATCATTCATCAAATCGCTCTGCATGCATCAGATTTTCTCGTTAATACGGGGTTTCTTGATTCGATTATTCATAACTTTTTCATTTTGTCAAACGTTTTTATTTCGTTCATTCAATCTTATTTTTACTCTTTTTTGGTGATATGTTTTTCCATCATTCATTCTTATTTTTATTCATTTTCTGTCATTTTTTCATTCTCTTAATCATTTATACTCGTCTATTAATCCGCCACTAAGTTTTTAATGATCTATTCATTCATAATTTTCAATTTAACCATTCCCGCACTTAATTTATTTTTGTAATTTAATTCAGCCCTTCAGTTCGTTCTTTCATTCAATTCATCTGTCTTTTAACTCATTCTTTCAATTTCATTCCACCAGTCAGTTGTCATTTTTTCTATTTCGTTCGTTCATTCATTCATTCATTCATTCATTCATTCATTCATTCATTCATTCATTCATTCATTCATTCATTCGTTCGTTCATTCATTCATTCATTCGTTCGTTCATTCGTTCATTCATTCGTTCATTTATTCGTTCGTTTATTCCTTCCTTCATTCACTCATTCATTCATTCATTCATTCATTCATTCATTCATTCATTCATTCATTCATTAAAAAAGTGATGGCAAGTCTACAAGCGTTTCTCCGTGTTAACTGACAAGGATCTAACTACGTGTATGCCCACTTTATAATTAAGCTATCATTCATTTTCTCATCCATCCGTCTGTTTGCTCATTCATTCATTTGTTCGTTCGTTTGTTTATCTGTTCATTTGTCAGTTTTTTTGTTTGTTTTTTTATTTGCGTGCTTGCCTGTTCATTCTTTCATCTATTCATTCAGTCATTCATTTGTTTGATGGATGGTTTGTTTGTTCATTAAATAATTCAGTCAATTTTTTGTTCTTTTTGTTTGTGGGTTTATTGCATTGTCTGTTCATTTAGTGAATTCATTCATTCACTCATTTATTTATTCATTTATTCATTCATTTATTTAACCATTCGTCTATTTTTTCATTCGTTCTTTCGTCTGCTCGTTTATCGTCCCGGCTTCCGTACATTCATACGTTCGTTCGATCTCTTTCTTAATCGATCGATCATTCATCCAATCAGCTACAACTCCTTTTTCCTTCAATCATTCATCAAACCATCATCATCATCGTCGTTATCGTCATCATCACCATCATCATCATCGTCGTCATCATCATTCCTCCTATTAATAGATTATAAATACCAACAGGAGATAAAAGCACAATAACACAAACATCATCACCAATGTTAGTATTATTATTATTATTTTATATTATTGTAACAATTATTTTTAGCAGGGGCGGTAGTAGTAGTAGTTGCAGTAGTTGTCTCTATAGTAGTAGTAAGAGTACAGTTTTAGTGGCATTACTAATTATTACTGTAACATCAGTAGTAAAGGTAGTAGTAGCCGCACCGCAGCAAAAGTAGTAGCAGCAGTAGCGGCAGCATCAGTAATAGTAGTAGTATTAGTAGTAGTAGTAGAAGTATTAGTAGTGTAGTAGTTGTAGTAGTAGTAGTAGGAGTAACGGTAGTAAGTAGTAGTTGTAGTAGTGTTACGTATTTTCCGTTGTGAGAAGGACAAGCGCGGACAAAGGCATTACAGCAAATCAATTAATATGAAAGGAAAGAATGCGGTCATAAATTTTTTCATTACCAAAAATAAAAAAACCTTTTTTTTTCGTCCAATGATAATAGCACAATTACTGATGTTGCTACCCTCATAACTATCATTACTATACTACTGCTGCTGCTACTACTACTACTGTTGTTACTGCAGCTACTACTACTGCTGCTGTTGCTGCTGCTGCTACTACTACTAGTGTGGTTGTTTATTTGCTAGTTCTTTACTTTCTATTCCTGTCAAAACAACGTTTGCTGCGTAGCTAACAGGTAATATAACAACAACAACGACAACAACAACAACAACGACATCGTATTTCAGAAACATTGGTATGAAATGGAAAGGGCGTGTATCAGAATCCTATTAACTCCTGTTGTTGTTGTTTTTGTTGTTGTTGTTGTTGTTCTTCTTCTTCTTCACCATTTTTTCCTCCAGTCCCAAGCTTCAACAACTACAATGTAGTGGTACAGCAATGAACACACAAACAAACAGACACAAACCAAACAAAAAACAAAAAAAAACACGTGATAAACAAACACGCAACACACAAACAACAATGACAAACACAACAAACTAGCAGCAAACCAACGACTAACACAAAAAAAACGACAAACAACACACAAACAACAAAACACAAACAAACAAATCAGACAACAACAACAACAACAACAACAACAAACGAAACAGACAAACAACCAACAACAAAAATACACAAAACTAATACATCAAACAACGTTACTCTAGCAAAAACATGTAATCAACTATATTTTGTGGATTCAACACGGTGATCATTCCATTACAATTGAAACCTCTCTCACAACATTTAATACAGCTTCTTCCATAACATTTACATCATTTCCTGTAATAAAAGGCGTAACTAACAAAATTACATACAGATCCCCGCTTAAACCTCTCCTTTCGAGTTATTAATATTACCTTTTTGTACTAGCATTGAGCTTTTACTTGATAGCAGTACTTTATTTACTGTATTTAATACCACCACTATCTTCTATCTTTTATTATTGTTTATTTTCATTATCTACTTTACTCTCTCTTTCTCTCCGTGACGACTAAAAGTAAACTCAGCTTATTAACACATCTACAACATTCATCTTTCACATAACGTTTCTATTTTCGGTTCCATTCGTCAGATTCGCTTGTTTTTCATTTCTCTCTCTATATATATATTTGATTTTATCTCTTCTCTTCTTTTTTATTTTATTCTCTTTATTTATCTCTCTCTTTTCTCTCTCTCTCTCTTTTTCTATCTTTCTCTCTTTTTTACTACTATTATTGCTACTCTTACTTGCTATTCTAGAAACTTTTTTCACAAACATTTAAATATTTAAAAGCCTCGAATTTCTGTTCCACTTAATCGCTTCACTTGTTTTTTCTCCACTCCTCTCTTTCTCTCTCTCTAACTTTCTCTCTTTCTCTCTCTCTCTCTCTCTCTACCTTTCTATTTCCTGCTGGTTAACAAATGAATTTTTATTCTCTCTTTTTCTCCATCTGTCTGATTTGAATTAACTCTCTCTTTTTCTCTCTCACAGTTTGGTTATCGATTAAGTCTCTCTCTTTCTTTCTCTCTTTCTCTATCTCTCTCTCCTTCTTTCTCTCTCTTTCTCTTACTTTCTTTCTCTCTATCTATCTCTCTTTCTCTCTCTGTCTAATTCTCTTTCTCTTTTCCTCTCTGTTTGGTGGTTGTCGATTAGTTGACAGAGCAGAACTTATTTTCATGTTGTCAACAGCAGCGGTACTCTCGCCCCGTTGATCTGCCGTCTCCTTTTTAAGTTTCAGAGGGAAAAAATTATTTTAATTAAATTTGTGATTAAATTTTTATAATTTTTAAAATTAATTAAATTTTTTATGAGTATTAAATGAAATTAAATAACCAACTATAAACATAGGCATAGAAATAAACAAAAATACCTAAACATAACAAATAATTTAAAAGAAAATAACCAAAATATTGAAGTAATAACATAAATAAAAAACAAAAGAATAAAACAATAAAAAATAGATGAAAATATGTAGAGCTAATAAGGTAAAACACATTGCAGGTAAATACACATGGAACAACGGACCACACTCATTGCATGTGCCAGGTGAAGAAATCTTAGCAATGGAACGCGGTCACAGCGATAGAAATGACAGGCATTTTACCGCTACACCATCTTTTCCCACTTTTTCAGACCATCATCTTAATTTTGAAAACGATTAATTCAGATTCATAATAATTAAATTAAAAATGAAATTTAAATTGAAATAAACTAATTTAAGTGAAAGAAATAAAAGTTACAGAAAAAAAACGCCTCAATAAAAAAATTTCATCCGGCTAAAATTTTAGCCGACAATTTAGCATGCCGACAATTTAACGAGTAAATCAATTAGGAAATCAAATTATCGGCGCTTAAATAGAATTTATTTAATTATTAATATTTAATTAATTAATTTAATTAATAATAATAATAACATACAAATACGCGAGCATGCATGCTAATCAACACATCACACATACATTAATATGTTGTTTATAATGTATTTAATGCCAATAACGTATGTTTTCTTTTTTCTTTCTAGTGCTTCATCCTTTCAGGATATTGGCGACCAACGACCTCCACAAAACCCGATCTTTAACACTTTGTAGGAGTTGAAATGTGATGATATTCAACAAGTGGCACAAGGACTTCACGAATGTTGTTCGTTGTTGACCGCGATCTCTTCTCCCTGCAATCTTTCCAGTAGTTGTTAGATTTTCCATTCTTTCTTTCCGCATGATGTGACCAAAAAACTTTAACTGCCACCGTCGAATTATCTGTAGTAATTTCCTCTGTTCATAACCAGACTGTTTTAATACATCATCATTCGAAGTGTGAGAGGTCCAACTAGGTTTCATAATTTTTCTCAAAAACCACATCTCAGCAGCGTTAATCTTTTTCTCCATTTCTTTAAAAATTATCCAGAACTCAGAGCCGTAGGTTAACATAGAAAAAATGTAACACCCTAACAGTT